CATTGGTGAATGCCACAAATTCTCCTAAATCACTCGTACGCACAACTTAAGAACAAATCTGTGCGTACGAACGGTTCTTGCATGAGGCCCAATGATCCCAAGCATACCTCAAATTCTACCAGTTCTTGGTTACAGAAGAAGGTTTGGAAGATTCTGGGGTGGCCATCACATTCACCTGACTTAAATCCCAGAGAAAATCTCTGGTGGGACTTGAAGAAGGCAGTTGCAGCAGGCAAGCCCAAGAATGTCAATGAACTAGAGGCCTTTGCCCTGAGGAATGGGCTAAAATACCTTTAGATCACTGAAAGAAACTTGTGTCAAGCTATGTTTCACGTCTGAAAGACGTCATTAATGCCAAAGGGAGTTTTACTAAGTACTAATGATGTATGTGACCAAGGGCTTGAATAATTTTGTCATTGAGGAAATTACTAAACATTTTTTGGTATACCTGAGAAGATATTGATGTAATTTAAGTTGCATGGCTGTGTAACGTCTTTGTGTTAATCTACAGCTGGAGCTGAACATTTGAGACATGAATCAATTTTTTTGTAGTCAGGTCTTATAAACGATATTAGATCTATTGTCTTAGTAATTTTAACTCAGACATCAAAGACAAAAAGAATTTTAGAAGACACATTTATTCATGTTTATTATCTGACTTTCACATCAGATTTGACCGTTTGTCTTCCAGAAGAAACGTCTTCGAGGCACGACATCCTTCAGGAAGTGACGTCACCGTATCAGGCGTCTAGAGGAAACGACATCAACGCGTCTTTGGCACAAACGAAAGCATTTCTTGTGTCACAGTTTTCAGCGTGGACGTAATCTTCTCCTGAAAACCAAAAGTGATTGAAAAATAACCGAAATTGAAGACGAAATCTTGTTTAAAACAAGAAAACTGCAAGCAAGCTCACAAGACAAATTAAAAGTGTAGGATGACATCGTTCCTGTACCGTTCAGGTTGATCTCCATGCAGTACTCATATTCATCCACGTTGTCTGGTTCTTCTGGACCCCAGTTAGTGAAGTTGAAGGGGGAACCATCACTCCACGTCCAGTAGTCACCTTCCTGTTAGAAGATTTCAAACAATCAAAAGATCTGTCTTTTCATGCTGATTGTTTAAACTTTAGAGACCCCCCAACACAAAAGAACCCGTACACCATTGGTGCCTCCAACCCAGGTTGTGGTGTTTTCTCCTGTAGCTTCGTTGATGAGACCCCTGATGAAGCTGTACTCATCCGGTCCATGAATGGAGGTCAGATGTGCATCGGACACATTACAGATCATCTGGGTGGGAAAATAAAAACACAATCAGCACATCTTCATCACTGTATGTGCACTAGTTATCCACTGACACGGCTGAGATAACCTGTCAAAACTTAAAGTTTTACCCTTTAATTCATAATAAAGACCAACATGTCACACTAACCTCAGCATTAGCCCAGTATGTTGCAGTTTCCATAAACATGTAACACTTTTCTTCATACAGAGTCCATCCAGCAGGGCAGTATTCACAAAGAATGCCACAACCATCTACACACACAGAAGAAACTAATTGTAGTAAATGTGACGGAAGCAGCTGTGGCAAAGCCTGTTGAACCAGAAAGCTTTCTGGGTGGAGTTAGCATGTTCTCTCCTTGCATGTGTGGGTTTTCTCCAGGTACTCCAGCTTAACTTTATAAGTTTGGGTGAGAGAGTGAATGGTTGTTTATAAGTAGTGTTCATTTAGGTTTTTTTTTTTCATGAACGGCTCGACACACAAAGCTTGTTGATCAGGATGTCTGGTAGTAAATATTTTTGAAAATTTAGCAGAAAAAGCACCAACCTGGACCTGCATCGCTGAATATCTGGAAGTTAAAAAAAGCACAGAATCAGATTTTGATCAACGTATTAAACTTTAAAGTACTTTATAGCTCATTAATTTGATTTAAAGTGAGATTTTGTTTCAAACCTACATTTCCTCCGATCCCCAGTCCAGAGAGGAGCAACGTGAAGAGCAGAGCTGAAGACATCTGTGGAAACATCACAGTTTAAATTTCAGGGCAAAATAATCCAATAATTCATAATAACCCATTTTAAAATGTACTGTCACTGAGAATTTTATATGTCCTAATAAAATAGAAACAATAAAGATAGATAGATAGATGGATAGATAGCACCTTTCAAAACTCAGTTACAAAGTGCTTTACATCATAATAGAGACAAAACACATAAAAAGCACAAAATAAAACATGCAAAGGTAATCTATTAAAAGCCAACTCATAATAAAATGTTTTTAAAAGAGATTTAAAAGAGGACAATGAAGAAACCTGTCTGATATAAAGTGGCAGTGCATTCCATAAAACAGGAGCCCTAACAGAAAAGGCTCTATAACCCTCTGTAGTCTTACTCTGGGTACTATAAGTAGTGACTGATCCGATGATCTCAGAGGTCACAGTGGTGTATATAGTGTGAGTAATTCTGAAATATAAGTCGGTGAAAGTCCATTCAGTGATTTAAAAACTATCAATGCAATCTTAAAATCAATCCTGAAAACCACAGGTACCCAGTGTAGAGAAGCTAGAACAGGAGTGATATGATCATACTTCTGGGATTTAGTGAGGACTCTAGTATTTTGTACTAATTGTAGGCATTTGAGGGTTTTTTTTTAGGCAGACCAATAAACAGAGGTTGCAGTAATCAAGATGACAAAAAATAAAAGCATGAATGAGTGATTTAGTTTCTGCAAATGAGATAACTGATCTTAATTTGGCAATATTTCTGATGTGATAGAAGCCAGTTTTAATACTATTATTAAAATGTTTAGTAAAACTCAGATCCGAATCCAGAACTACCCCAAGGTTTCTGGCCTCATGAGAGCAATTAAAACCTGAAGAATTAAGAACTTTAATTATAGGGTCTCTATGAGCCTTAGGGCCCAAAACCAACACCTCAGTTTTATAATTGTTTAACAATAAATAATTATCGGACATCCAGACCTTAATATCGGTGAGACAAGAATTTAGGATGTTTAGAGCCGATAGATCAGAAGGATCAATAGATAAATATATCTGGGCATGCCCAGATATATTTATCAATAGATAAATATATCTGGGCATCATCTGCATAAAAATGAAAAGAGACATTATATTTGTGAATAATTTGACCCAGAAAAAAGCAGTGGGCCAAGAATGGAACCCTGAGGAACGCCACAAATAAGTTTTACCACTTCAGAAGAACTGTTACCAATTGATACACAGAAGAGCGTATCACTTAAATAAGATTTAAACCAGTTCAGAGCAGTTCCACTCATACCCACAGAGTATCGCAGGCGATTAATTAGAGTACTGTGGTCAGGCGTATCAAATGCAGCTGAGAGGTCCAACAGAACCAGGATTGAACACCGACCAGCATCAGAGTTCATTCTTATATCACTACCCTTAGTAAAGCAGTTTCAGTACTATGGTGCCGACGGAAGTCAGATTGAAACTTCTCAAAGATAGAATTTTTATTTAAGAATGTTGATAATTGATTAAAAACTGTTTTTTCTAAGATTTTTGCCATAAAAGGTGGTTTAGAAATAGGTCTATAGTTATTAAAATCATTAGTGTCCAGATCAGGTTTCTTTAATAAGGGTAAAACAGATGCAGTTTTAAAAGCTAAAGGCACAACACCTAAACTTATCTTTGTGTTTTGTAACAAAACACTTATTTTAAAACCAAACCTTTACAGCTGAAAACAGTTAAATATAGTCAGGCTTCGATAAACCTTTCAAATTTTACCTTGCTGTGATGTTTGAGCCAAGCAGCAGTAGCAGCAGTGCAGTAGCACGCACTGGAAGGAGGATGCTGTGGAAAAGTGAACTCAGTGGTTTTATACCTTCTTCTCTTGGTGAACCTGTCGGGCAGCTGATGGCGTCTCATCAGATAAAGTTGATGCCGTTGGGGGGAATTCAGGTGTAACAACAGCTCCCTCTGGGGTCCTGACCTGCTGAGGTTCAGGTCGGTCCTGTTAGTGATCAGAGTCAGGAGGAATGGTCAGACAGTTAATCACTGGTTTTGTTTACAAACCTCACATTTCCAGTTTAGTCTGTCCTCAACTTCAGGTCAGTGGAGGCTGAGAACATTAACTGCTGCTTTGAGTTTCAAAGAAACAGTTTAGTTGAAGTTTTCTGCTAAATGGATGTTGATATTGATCTGGTTACACCAGTTTGATCCATTAACCCTTGTTGTTGTCCACAGGCCAGTGCTGTTAACATTTACTGGTTGTTCTGGTTTGCAGCAGGAGAAAAACTGATGTTTACAGAAAGAACAGCAGCAGGAGTATGGACCCTCGCAAAGCAGGGTTCTTATTGTTTTCCTACTCTTTATTATGACCCCTGCACTCGAAGCGTAAGCGGGAGTCATATTGTTTTCGTACTGGTTTTTTTTTTTCCAGTGATTTTTGGTCAATCGTTGCACGGAAACGGCTGCACTGATCAACATGAATTTTGGTAGGAATGTAGAAGTGTCCGACCTACACTGCATGTGAAAAGGGAGTGTCTGGACATACTTCTTATAACTCAAAAACTATTCAACATAAGAGCTTCAGATTATTATTTTTATTTTTTTTAGCTCTGATAAAGGGCTATTCATCGGGCCCAACTTTGAGTCCCCCCTCCCTTGGACCACCCCCATCTGAAGGTGGACGCTTCATGTTTCTTACCCAAATCTTTGGTAATGGTTCTGGGATTTGAACCTCTGAATCACAAGCTTACCTTCTCTATCCTCTGCAGCAACAAAAATTATGGATTTCTTATATATTTACATTTATTATATATATATATACAGTGGTTTGCAAAAGTATTCATACCCCTTGAACTTTTCCATATTTTGTCACATTACAACCACAAACATAAATATA